CTCGTCAGAGTATCGGGCTCTTATACAAAACATCCGCTTTGAAAGAGCCAAGCAACGAAACGTACAAAATAGGAACATGTACATTACCAGATTATGGCTCCAAAATCTATTGCGATTCCGGAGTGAGTGCTTTGGCTATTCCGCTACCTTACCATATATGGATCGATATAATGTGCCGAATTAAACTTAACCCTTTGATATACATATTGAAAAATACATTCCTCAAACCCACTAAGATAACTAAAAGAACCGGCAATGTACTGCATCATAAAGAAAAACGACAACAACAAAGTAAAAAGATCAAGAACGAAGGAATCTGATAACAGTTTCCTTAACAGGCTCTCCGTATTATTAAACAGGCTTCCAAGTGACATAATTGAAATTCATTCAGGGATAATGTTTCGAAAGTTATTACATTCATTACACAAGGTTGAAATAGCTATTGGTACACCGAGACCAAACATGATAAGTGAATCTCTTTGAGGAAATTGCAGCGAGACAGATATGATCTGAATACTCGGTTTCCAGTTTTGTCGCTCGACTCGATTGATTCCCCAATGGTTAGCAGTAGCAATTGTTATCTAATAACGAAAGTTTTCCGCATAACGTTGCAAGTAAGCTTGCCAAGGTAAAAACTTGTCTCATTTCTTTGCACAAGTTCTGCCTTAGTAAGTATCGTTCATTATTTCTTGGAGACCTAATTCAGGCACATGATGTAGTTTAACGTGCTCCATCAAAGCCACATGAATTTTAATTTCTCTGATTTTCTATTGGTTTCACGTGATTAAACCACTGAGATTCTTCCAGGAGCTACACTGCTTATAAATGCTTCAAACAATTATTTCGCGGTCCGTTGCTATTTCCCGTGTTTATAAATGACTTAGTTCCCCTACTTGAAGAACCCTCCTACATGTTTGCTGACGACTTGAAGCTTGTCAGCATGGGAGACAAGGCTTCGTTAGCTAGAGATTTTGCTACCGTTCTTAATTGGTCACATTTGTGGGACTTATCATTGAACACCAGCAAATGTCAAATCCTAACTCTGCGTGATGACGAATTTACTGTACATACATCTAATGGGTTGCTAACACTGTAGCATGTCACTGAGGCACACGACCAAGGCGTCATCGTGACGAGTGACTTTAAGCCCTCGGCGCCGTGCAGCCATGCGGCTAATAAAGCACGACTGGAGTTATTTCATCTCAGGAGAGTTCTGAGTTGTACCAAGCCAGAGGTCTATCTCCCCTTGTTTGAAGCTGTGGTCAGACCACATATTGAATAGTGTTCATGCCTGGGTACCTGCGGAAATATACTACTTGTATTGAGAATGTGCAGAGACTAGTCACTCGAAGGATAGAAGGGTAGTGTTGGCTATCGTATGAAGATCGGTTAGCTAACTTAAGTTTGTTTCCAACGAGAAGACGCAGATTGAGAGGTGACTTAATAGAGACGTTCAAAATCATGAAGAGTCTCAGTGGTCTCAGGCCCATCGATCTGTTTGAACCAGTGACATCCGAAAACTTGCGGGGCCATTGCATGAAATTGTAGCAACATAGATCTAGGCTAGAGGCAGGTTTTTCGCAAACCGTGCTTTGCCTAGTTGAAATACTTCCTTCTGCGCTACTGGGATGCGAAACCGTCGAGGAATTTAAACCTAGCCTAGACAAGCATTGGCTAGCCTTGTTCCCAGAACTTTCCTTAGATTTGGTGACTGTCACTAATCTCATAACTTCATGAAAGTCTTGCATTTGTTTCAGTTTTCCACTATTATAGAAGCAAGAACGTTATATCAAGTCACAGTGCTGGGGGCCCTTTTTCGCTAACCGGTACACGAATCGGGACGTTCGTTAAGCGGAAGCTTGTTTCGTCCCTGGATCCTGTCCTGTCCTGTCCTATCCTCTTCGACTGTCTGTACAAAATGAATCAGACAACCGTCAGACTACATCTCATTCCAAAGAAGCATATGACATGTACTCACCGTAGTTTTCGTTTCATTTCACTTTCACAACTGGTCCGATCTCATGATGTGACGGATTGAAGCTTCCAAGCTAACTAATAACACCCAGACAAGGCGAATGGTCACAAACAAACTGGTGCTGAACTCAAATTAGTCGGATGTCGGAACGAGCTGAATGACCATAACAAAAGCTCCAAAATGTGTCGATATGGTGTTGGGTTACTTCCTAAAACAGCGGTCGAAGTCTACATAATAACGTCCCACTTGCTTATAACAGTGGCCATAAAAAACATTAAGGAATGAGTCAAAATGATGAGCGGTTACTCGTTTTCAAGAAATCTCAGCACCTGGCCAGATGAGGCGTTGAAGTTCTGATGAAACCCCTCGAAGGACTACCCTGCATAAAAGCACGTCCCCGGGAGACGGTTCCACGGATGGTCGTATTAATTTACTTGAATTGCCGGATATACCTACATTTATTCCTACTCTCTACTTACCGTCCTTATAATATACTCCTGATTGATAGAGCACCCAAAAAATTGGAATATACTCGGAAATGATTGAGAAGTGCTGGTTTCAGAGAGGCTTGTGAACAGCGATTGGTTTACTTGGTCAACAATGTTTCACTTTTGATATAAAGGCTTCGTCAGGCCGGGTGAGTTGGTACACAGTTGGTGTGGTATTTGATAGCGGATGAGGTAGATAATCGTGACAACTGAGAGGTGAGTCAAGAGATCCTTACAGACGCAGATGGAAATGTCATCGCAAGTGGTCAGTTAGATTAAGGCAATTGCAGGGAATTCATTGTCCGCCGTGTTGTCAATCAGCGCATTGGTGAAGATATCGAGGGTGACGGTTTTTTGCTGTCCAACCTGACCCGTGTGTCGACGCTCGTCAGACGGACTGAATTAAGATTGTTCTCCACGCAGTCGAGAGTACTAGTCCCTAGCTATAAGCTTCAGCGATTTCAATTGTATGGGCAATTAACCAATGGGGCTTCGCTCGTAAAACTTTTCTAATGATTACGACATTATCAAAATCGATCGCATGGACGGTGTCCAGTGCGTACACAGCTAAGGCGGATTCACTGCATTAAAAACCATTCCTCAGCGTTTGTAAAATGAGTCTTTCATGTTCCGATCCCCGTGTCCTTAGCTCTCTTGCTGCTTACCAATTGTCATTAGCAAACGCCTTAACGTGTGCTCCTCCCACTGACGTCAATCTACACTGGAACTTGTTGCAAAATGCGTTGTTATCATCTGGCCAATCAGCCTGTGGATTCACTTGTCGCCTCTCAAAGAAATGGATCTCCGCGCGATCCCTGACACTGTTCGACCGCCGTCAAACTCTCCCAGATAACTCCGATCAAAATGAACTACGCTGCGCCATCAACCGCCAAGTTAAATGGAGCCTTCGCGGTGATCGTGAAGCCTGTTGGTCTCAACGCGCTTTAGAAATGGAAACCGCCGCCCTCTCTGCAAATACTCGCAGGTTGTCACAGCTCATTCGGTCCAGTGGTCACAAAAAATCGGTTGTTGGCGAGATTATCTGTGAGGCGGATTGGACACCAATTACCAACTTGCAGAGACGCATGGACAGATGGGCTGAGCATTTCCAATTTCAGTTCAGTTCTTCGCCGTTGTCCACTTTCGTACTTGGCTCGCCGCGCAGTGCGACATGGGCCGTCACTCGAACGACTCACTGAAGCCAAAGTTCACCATGAGATTAGACACTTGAAGCGCTGTAAGGCTGCTGGTTCAGACGCGCTTCCTCCAGAACTGTTCAGATATTGTTGTACGAAAATTGTCACCCAGCTAACATCCCTATTTATGAAGATCTGGAGTGAAGAAAGAGTCCACACTTAATTGAGTGTGTCAATTATTGTCCCGGTCTTAAAGAAGGGTTAGGGATTTCATATGCTAATCATAGAGGAATCAGGCAGGTACCAGTTGCCTCCAAGCTGCTGGTATCCAGCATGTTGCGCAGGCTGTCGCCAACTCACGAAGCGCACTATCGGGAGGAGCAGGCTGGTTTCCATCCAGGGTAGTGGTTGTGTGGATGATATTTCCACGATTCGTCAGCTTCTTGAACATCGCCACATATACCGTAGACTCACCACTTTCGTCTTCCTGGACATTCGGGCTACATTCGACTCTGTATACGGACCTGCCTTATGGCATTACCTACTAAGTACGAAGTCCCTGAAAAGTACGTCGCTATTTTTGGGGCGTTATATCTTTACACCTCAGGAAGAGTAAGAGCCTACGGCAAGCTCTCTGTAGTCTTTCTTGTCACCAGTGGTGTGCGACAAGGATGCCCTATGTCTCCATTTCTTTTCAACTTCGCGATCGAAGATGTCCTGTTGGGAGCTCTAGAGGGCATTCAGAATACTGGAGTTGAGCTCCTTTTAAGTAATCGTGCATCCGACTTGAATTACGCTGATGATATCGCCTTGCTCGGTGACGACCCTCACAGGATGCTACTGATCTTTGACCGACTGGTGATTGAAGCGTCCAAGTATGGCATGTGCTTTGCACCTACAAAGTGCAAATATAGGATTGGCAAACTGCTCTTCCTCAGCTCGCTATCGAAAACAATTGGTTTGAGCAAGTGGATAGTTTTGTCTACCTTAGGAGCAGTATTTCTTCCGACAGAACCATTGGAGAAGAGGTGTCTCTCCGCACCACTAAAGCCTGCTCGGCTTTTGCTAATTTGCAACATCTGTGAAGTCGTCGCTACATCTATTGATGAAAGGTAGGGTTTAAAATGCGACATTTCCCTACAGCAGAGAAACAAGAAACAGTGCTGCGCTGAGACAGTTTGTTACTCCGTTGCGATAATTGAGTTCGATAACAGGAAAGAGCTGATAGCCGCCGGTTTAGGATACAGCATTTGGTAAAAAACGCATGGACAGCAAAAGAGTGAGCAGATGATAAATCATTGGGGACATTATAACCGAAGTGTGTTTGCGCGCGACAAATTTGGTCAAAATGGAGGAACATGAACCAAAGTAGCTGCGCAATAAGATGAGACGTTGGCTTACCTGACGCTCATCTGCTTTGTCCGCTTTGTGGCCCACGATCACGAACACAGGACACTGAGAACGAACGCAGCAAACTGCTTCATCATACCAACCAGGGACGTGTTCGTAAGTCTCCCGATCGGTTAAGTCGAACAGGATGAACGCACCAACACAATTTCGGTAGTATGATTTCGCGATTGAGCTATGGTCATAAACAACAGGAAAGCAGGCCGGTACAAATGACTGCGATTGCAATGTTCGGACTCATATATACTGGAAAGATGAGAATACTCACCGGAATTTTTCTTGTCCGGCTGTGTCCCACAACTGCAACTTTACGTACTTGTCATCTTGTACACGCACAGTACGACAGTAAAAATCGACTCCCACGGTAGGATCACACACGTTGGTAAAGCGTCCTTCGACGAATGTGCGTAGGAAAGATGACTTTCCGACCATACTGTCTCCGATAATAATGACCCGAAATTGGTAGTCGAAATAAGGAATCATGATATGGTAAGGCGGATTGGACTAATGCGATGTGCTGCAAAGCATTAACCGAGAGGCAAAATAATAATAAAGGGGTAAAAGGTATAAAGTGGAATAAGAGTAATGTGCTGCAGTAGTGAAAGCATAGAGAAGTAAAGTTGAAAGAGGGTACCTTATACCGAAGTGTAACATGCAGTAGTGAGATGTTTGCGGAAGAAGGATAAATAGAACTTGAGAAAGCTTTGCGCGTTAGAAAGACAAGAACTAGTGAAGCAAATGCACGTGGATAACGTGTCTTGCGTTGCTGCTTGGGACCAGCGAATAGACAGTGCTGCAAGCTATTCGCTATGGAAATCGGATGATTCTGGGTAGAATTCAAGGGAGTCGTAGTGAATAATGAAGTAATAAGCTAAAGTCTCAACAACTGAACACGAAGTGAAAAGACGCACATCGTCTAAAGGCAGGTTGAATAAGAGTAGGCAGAGAGTAGTAATGCGAAGTAAATGATGATCAGACGCGTCAGTGACGAAGTAAAATCAGCGTGGCGCGAGTCTACGTGGTTCTTCAACCCCTTGAGTTATCCTAGCTGGTAAGAGCCATACCTACCAGACTGATCAATGATTAGAGATCACAAAGCCCATCTTTTGGCAACTCACTGGTTAAGCGTTGGAAACCGAACAATACTCGTTTCTGCAAACCGGAACATTGTCACATTCCGTTACCGACGAAGTACAATTAAAAATACCGTGTACAACCGGATATAAGCCCGTCCATAGCTAAGCCGATAGTATAAGCTTGCAACATCAAATTTGTTTAAGACGTAAGTCCCTGTATTAGCCGACCCCAAAAAACCGCAAAAGTGCAATGAAATTGTTTCTCCACGGTTTTGACATCAGCACTACCTGCTCTCACTTGAGTGAGTTCAGGTGAAACCTGCTCTACTATTGGTCAATTGTGGTGGCCGTAATGTCATAATCGCGGTTAATGGGAAGCAGGGTAAGGTGAGATGGTGTGTCAGACAGGCCGCCTCGCATAGTCGGGAGCCTCATGCATATGAATTACAGTAGAGCAGTGGATGAGAGCGAAATTCACGGCCAGGGGTGTGGGACGACTTTTTGTTTTAAGGCACCGGATGGAATGGCATGAGATAACGTTTAATGGTTTTTGTTTCGCTACAGCCATCCGTCGTGAACGTCAAATGTGCAACGCACTGAAAACTTTCAGCACAAAAGTAACATGTCCATTTACAAGGACTCCAAATCCCCGTCTGGAATACCGTCTGCCACCAGCTGGTGAAACTAATGGGAGATAAGGGCAGTAGTGCGCAGCGAATTCCTGGGTGGATATTGCATGTGACTTTTTTCAAATTCGTATAGCCTGTCATAAGCAAAAACGAAAAATTGTTCAAAAATCACCGGCTTATAATCGGTACTATACGGTACACCAAAATCATCACTAAACATCAGTATTAGAAAAAAAGCTTTCGTTGCGGACCCTAACTACTTTCCTGTCCAGGTCTCGGTGTCATAGCGGCAACGCAGAACAGGTACAACCCTGAATTCCTCATTAAACTACAGTTACATCCATTATCAGTCGTGGCACCATTTCATAATAGTCCCCTTAGTTGAACAAGAAAGTAAGACTGAAGAGCGAACGCCCGTTCTTTCTGGCGCCTCATTTCTTTCTTTTCCATCTAGTTAAGTATGGCCCGTAGCCGATAGACGGAACAAAACGCGCAGACATAGTTTGGAGCCGTTTTAATGAAAGCTACCTACGTTACTGCGTGTAGAAATAGCGAAACAAAAAGCCAATGAAATAAGGCAGGTAGGGCAAGGTCATTGTCAACCAATCATGTGAGCGCCTGTGTTCACGATCAATACTCAACAGCATACGTGACACCCTTCCCTTCCCTGATAAAGACTGCAGAGGCCGGGTTAATACCGATAAACTGACTTGGGCGCGCGTTCCGAACGTATAATTGAGGTTGTTTAGCTTCTGTTTGCGGTTCCTGGTTTTGTCGGATTCCCTGTCCGTTTTTGCGTTAGTAGCAAGCGATTCTTGATCCCGCCCATGCGGTTCGATGGAGCGTAACCGGATATGGTCAAAATGGTGGCGTACCACACGGCCGTCCTCCAGCTGTAGCTCCGCTTGGTTATTCATTGAGCGCTGCAGGTTGCCAGCTTGCTTCGTGAGGTTTTCTTGTGTATAGCGGATCGAAAAAATTGAGACACATTTCTTCTGGCATCTTGTCATTCCCACACATTTTCTCCTGCTTTTCCTCCATTCTCCTTTAAGGGTTCGTAAAATGTAGATGCAGTCTCGATTGTAGTGGCCGATCAAGTAGTAACTCTGCGGGTGACCTCCTTGTCGATTCGTGCGGTAAGAGAACAGGAGACGATCCAACTTAGTTTGTGAAATTCCAAGAGTCTGGTATGGAAATGTTTCGGTGTTGCTCTTCTCAATCCTGGCACACCATGACCGCGGTCTTGTCCTGGTTTGGACTTATCAGGTGGGGATAGCCTGAGCTGGAGTGGAACTCAGAGCCTAGTAGTACACGGATGACGCCGAATTCCATGAGTCTGGTTGAGGAGACCTTGCTTAGCAGTCTGGACTGCACGTTCTGTCATTCCATTCGACGCGCGATGGTACGGCGCAGACTTGATGTGCTGTATTCCGTTGCTACTCAGAAGCTGTTGGAACTCACTGGTAAATGGTGTGCTGTTGTCGGTGCATACCGTCTCCGAAATATCGAAAATTGCGAATAAGGAGCGCATTTTTGCAACTGTTGCTGCGGAAATCGCATGTGGAACTGGATGTGCTTCTATTGGACCGCTTGTCCCTATAGTCTGCAGAAGTTGAGCTGCCGGCCAAGTCGTCATTTATGAGTCTGAGTAAGGATGGTAATGGGCGTATGTGCACCATAGCCGGCCAACCGCTGCACCCCACAGACTGAGCAAAGGATATAAGTGTGCTCTCACACTGTGATCTGAAGCCCGTCGACAACACAAACATCCCGTACGTAAACGCACAACGCTTGTTTTGGGCACTTAGACGTGGCTACTGCACTTGGACTGAAGAGATTACCACTCGCCTGTTCGCTTCCATGATAAGATTGGTGCTTGAGTACGGCCCACCCGCATATTGTCCGATCACTAGGTGAGGTGCCGAGACTGGAACAGGTTCAGTGTGTATCTACCCGGCTCATCCCCAGTTTATGTAAACATCCTAATAGGCGCGATTCCCTTAACTCGCACCGCTGCTTTTCGGATAGTTTATTTAGCCAAACGCTCAGGGTGGGGTCCCCTAAGTCAACTGTCTACTCTGGCTTGGGCAACCGGATAGTATCACGCCCTCTCACAAAACCATGGACTGTTCTACAACGTGCCCATCAGCTACCGTTTCTGCTTCTCACATTCACGCGACTTCATAACACACCAATTGGTGGTTTGTTAACATACCTTACTTTCCGTTACCCGATTCATGTGCTCAAAGATCTGGCAACAATTGCGGTTGCGTCGGAAACCACGGAGTTCAACCTATGGCTCTCTTTCGTCTCCGATTCTAAGTCCGTCTGGCATAATTCACTGTTCGGACACTAGTGTAGACTGGACAACAAGCCGGTCTGGCGCGCTTCTTAGAGTCCCTCGATATTAATGTCTGCATTCTTTCAGTAACTCGATTGCAAGATCCCAGTACTGTGCTTACATTGACATCCCCCACTGACCACGAAGCCAAATAACACTTGCGTCTTTTTGGAGATCCAGAAGTAGCCTCAGTGGGTTTGGCTGGTGGAGGTATGGCACTAAGTGACAAGTCCGAGGCGGCACTACTGGACTGGTTCCCGATTAACAACCGACTGTGTACAGTTCGGCTTCGCGGTTCAGGTAGAATCAACAAGTACCGCGAAGAGACCACATGTTGTGATCTCCGTGAACCCTCCAAATGACTGCAGTAGTGGCTCGGTCAAGGATGACTTCTATCGGAACCTACATCAGCTCTTGACTAATGCTAAAAAGTCGGATATCGCTGTCATTGCCGGGGAATTTAATGCACGGGTTGGCCACAAGTTACCATACGAACGCCACCTTGGTGGTCATCACGCGCTCGATGAGGACCAGTCTGATAACGGAGAGAGGCTACTCATATTATGCGAAGACAACCATCTGTTTCTCTCGAGCACTAACTACAGGCGTACTAAGAAGTGTTCCGCAACGTGGCGTCTCCCTTCGCCAACACAACCGTGGTCTCAAATTGATCACATTGCAATTAGCTTCAGATGGCGTGGCAGCGTACAAGCCTGCAGGTCCTTTTGGTCTACCTCCGTTGACGCAGATTATGCACTGGTCTACGCCAAAAGCTGTGTGTTCTGGGGGTCCCGAATAACGAAGCACCGCAAGATTGATGTAAACAGATTAACTGATTCCTCTGTTTAGGCGAGCTATCAGTCTCCACTGGGATACGCACCATGTTGCAATCCACCGCAAGATGTGGAGCAACACTAGACTTGTAAGTAAAAAGAGATGACCATTTCCGGACAGTCATGCTGTGGCCTAGCCCGACATCCCTTATAGGCTTGGATCTCTACTCGCTCTCTGGAGCTGTTCGAGCGCCGCCAATAAATCCAGGCGGAATCAGATTGCAACGAACGGCGACGTTCTGTCAACCGGCTGTTCAAGCAAAGCTCGCGCAAGGATCGCGAGGCATGGTGGTCTGAGCGTCCTTTAGAGATGGAGACCGCTACCTTCTCTGGCAACACTCGCAAACTTTTCAGTCCATTGGCCTCAAGAAGCCTGGTGTCAGTAAGGTCAATTGCGATCTTGATGAGTCTCCGGTCACCAAACAACAGAGGGGTTAGGACCGCTGGGCCGAGCACTTTCACTCGCAGTTCAACTGGCCTCAACCATCCATCAGTACATGCAGTACACCTTAATGTCCACATTGGCTCGTCCGCTGAATCCATTCAGAGAAGCGGAAGTCTGACTCGAGATTCGACGCTTGAAGCGGTTTAAGGCTGCCGGCATGGACGGACTTCTGCTGGTATATTGTTGGCAGGCTGCATC